ACGTTAATTATTTTTACTTCAACTTTCCTCATATTCTTTCAAGATTTTTGCGAATTCTTTCATAGTTTATAAATTTATAATAGTGTATCTTTGAATTTGAATGATTTTATTCATACTTTTCCTGTGGTTTTTGTCGTAATGATTTAGATTGTGGAAATTTCTCGCATTACCAATAACTTTCACCCTTTCCTGTCTTTTATTCGTCTAGTTTTTTCATTCATTTGCTGTTTTCTCAAATCAGCTGATCTTTCAGATGTGTCACGATCGAGGTTATCTGGTGACACAAGAAGAATTGGATCAAACATTGGACAACTTCAAGGAGACGTTTGGGGATAAGCCAAGCGAAGGAAAGCCGAGCCGGAGTGAGTTGACGATCCTCGTGGCACACAATGACGACCCCACTGATCAGATGTTTGTTTTCTTCCCTGAAGATGCCAAGATTGGTATCAAAACCATAAAAGTGAGTCAGAAATTACCGTTCCTGAATAAGTATTCATTCTTAAGTCACCTCAATTTTGTGATGAAAATTGAGTAACTTTGTTCAGAAACGGTGAAATTATTCGAGTTGCTCGATGAAATGCAACTGCTTTGTTCAGTGACAGTTGTTTCTTTTAGGCAATCTGTCAACAGATGCAAGAGAAGGCAATCACGCGATCGATCATTGTTGTACAGGCTGGTATGACACCGTCGGCGAAACAGGTAACTAGATACTTTAGGTTTACATTCGTATTCATCCGAATTTATCCTGTTTTTGCCAATTATTCAAATACCGTGTGATTGTAGAAGTTATATTTTCTATTACGATTTTCGACAAGCTTTGAGTTGTCTTTTTTTAAATGTATGATTTCATTTCAGTCAATAACTGATATGGCTCATAAATATACTCTGGAACAGTTCTTGGAGGCCGAATTGATGGTAAATATAACGGAGCATGAGCTTGTTCCAGAACACGTCGTGATGAATAATGAAGAGAAAACAGAATTACTGGCTCGATAGTAAGTTTCTTTTGATATTTTTTTGTTATCGTTATTAATATTGATGTTATGTTGTTATTATTATCGTTTTTGAATTATTATCAATATTATTGATATCATTACCACTGAATTGTTGTGTTTTGTTTATCATTATAAAAGCATTAAGGTATTATTGTTGTGGTTGTTATTAATGATAGGTTATTGTTGTGTTGTTATCATTGTTAATTGACGTCTTTCTTCATGGTTTCAGCAAACTGAATGAATCACAGCTTCCCCGAATTCAGCAGAGTGATCCAGTTGCGAGATATTTTGGCCTGAGACGTGGTCAAGTTGTGAAGATCATTAGGCCGTCAGAAACGGCGGGTCGTTACATCACCTATCGTCTTGTTTCATGAGGGGGGAGAGATTCTCTGGTGGTTCGATTGAATGTTGTGGTGATAAATTGGTCTGTACGTATTGTTCTTTTGTTATTTTGCAATTTATATCGTTGCTGATTTCATTAATATTATTTGTCGTTATACTTATTATCTTCGTTGTTACATTATTACGATTGTTATTGATGTGAGTTATTTTTATTGAGAGGTGGAAAATTTTATTAGGGCAATGTTAAAGTTGTTGTGTTGTATTGAAAGAAAAATAACGAAATAAAGTTGTGTGCAATTCGATTCGCTTTCACCTGCATTGCAAACCGATTGGCATTTGAAATGGGGGATTTTTATTTATGGAAATGAAAAGGATTCTGACAGAACCGGTATCGAATTGTGTGCCTGCGATTAGGCACAACGGATATGGAGTTAAGATTAATGTTGTTGTGATGGCGTATTTAGAATTGTGCGTATACAAAAAATGTAACTATATGGCTCCGTATAATGAAGAGTTTCGAAAGATAGCAACTGTTAAAAAATATGGAAGCATGAGTATTTGGACGAGAGATGCGAACGCAACAAACTAGATATTTAGCATCTGATTAGAGCAGTAATCGTTGGTTATCGCAAGCATTTCATGGCTAGCCAAAGCCGGGATGTGACATTGGCATAGGCGAATGCAAATCAGTTAATCAAACTCATTTTGGAGTTAACATTTAAAAAGCACATCACTTTTGCATACAGACTCAAAAATACACTGACACTGGGCGGAACTGAATCTGGGATCAATGGCATTGAATCTGGCATTAATAATACTGCAGAAATGGGAATCTCCTCTGGGTCAGAACACTGCAGCAGTTGTCTGAAACGACATCCTTCTAAGTTTTGTATGATTAACTCAGCGAGCAGAATGGAAAGAAGCAAAAAATTAGAAATAGAGACAGAAAATATTTTGCAAACA